GACCTCCTTGATGCTGTGCCATACAAGATATAATCACATTCACCTTCTTCCTTTCTTTTCCCCCTTTTTTTTTAATTTTCACAAGTAAATTGTCTCATTCAAATTTTATTCATAACACGCTAAAGTACATCTAAAATTTCAGAAACTGTAAGTGATCAATGATCAAGAGTTTTTGTTTTTCATTTCAACAAAAAAGTGAGAGATCTGATGGTAAATTAGAAGAAAAAAAATTCAACATTTTCCATGGAATTGCATTATTTTAATTAGCCTAAAACTACATAATCAAAAAGAAATATTTTATTTCAGCAGAAAAATTCATCATCATTCGAAAAAAAAATCAGGACGCTGATTTTAGGAAACAAAAATCAAATTAAAGTACCAGCTTCATCAGCTTTTCTGGATTCCAAATCCAGATATTTGGAGCGGTTGCCATGTTGTTGCAGTACATCCTCCACAACTGAAGCAGCAGAAAACAACAACATTCCTTCTGCGGCCATTTTCTCTCCCCAAATTATTTCAAAAATAATAAGAAAAAAAAACTCACAACTTCACCATCCAAAAAATCAAACCAAATACAAAATTTCTCCCCAATGGAAGAGAATGGAAACGAGCAAAGCTTTGGGTTTTGTTCTTCCTGGGTATTGCTATGTTAAAGTGGGAGTTTGATGGGGGTTTTTTCTTCTTCTTTGCTACCTCTGTATAGAAAAGAAAGTTAAGTCTGCTTTATACTCTTTAAACTTCTTTAGAAGCTTTATTTTTTTTGTTCACAGCCACTGTTACTCCATACCTGCCTCCGCACCTGGCGTCTATAGAATCCAAAGAGGTAAAGGGCCTAAATGGCGGTGTATTCAGGTGCCTCCCTTGGCGCGTGAAATTCAGGTGCCTAAATGTTAATATTTTTTAAATATTTTCAGTAAAATGTTATCTAAAATATTATTTTTTTATCGAAAATATTAATTTTATACCTTTTAGGAATCAAAGCAAAGTCAATGGTCAAATTTCACATTTTAATCAATGTTATATTCACATTTTAATTATAAATCAAAAGCAAAGTCAATGGTCAAATTATAGTTCAAAGCCAAATTTAGGGATCGAATTGCAGCTCAAAGCTTAAATCAAGGATCAATATGCAGGAAAAAAGGTAAGGATCAAATTGCACATCTAAACGAAAGTCAGTAAAAAAAATTCATTAACCTTAATATTTAGACCATGAAATATTTTAAGAAACGAGAAATACAATATATATAGTGTCAAAGATATGAAAGCGGAAAACAGTGACATATTGCGAAGAGAATGGGAGGCAACAATTGGACATAAAATGTGAGTATGTTGCAAATCCTAAAGCAAAGCTTCAATCTAATTATGCAAAACAAATGATACATGAATATTTACAAAGAAATGAAAGATTAATAGTTAATGATATTTGAGAGGGGGACGAAATTATGATATTTTTTAGGGCAGTGAATGCCTTTTTTTTTTCCATGTTGGTATGTTAAGTAAAGGCATGATTTATATTGATGGATTGGAAGTATAAGGTGGGCATCACCTTTCTGCTGCAGGAAATGTGCAGCTTCATGTCATGATGTGAAGATGACTCTCCTTATCCTCTTAAACTTCCACTAATATTTCATTTATTTGTGTTATACACTAAACCTTTTTCTTGTTCACTTCACGTACACAACGAAGAAAGAAAAAACCCTGGAATTCTTCCTTCTGGGGTCCATTGTCCAAAAACCTGTGAAAATGGCTTTTATTGCAAATGCAAATACGTGCTCAAATAACAATCACAACTAGGTTAATAATTAGAATATTATCGAACAAAAACGACACATAATGTTACTTAAATCAAAATAAAATCTTGCAGCCTATAAAGGAATGAAATAGTCCCCATGTTATGTTGGAAAAGTTAAAGTAGGCATATGGACATGATGATCATCAAGATGATAATTATTTTTGTTGGGTGGCCATTGATAATTAACTGAAGACTCTTTTGAGGGGAGAAAAATGGATCCGAAATCCAATCTGGAAAGCAAAAAGCAAAACCCTAATTTCTAACCACACTGTTAAATAATAAAAAAATTCCATTGCCAAAAGTAAGACTTTAGTTTTAAGAAAAAGCAGCAGTTGGTTAACACAGGTTGTAGACAAGTGGTTCTTTGTTGTTACAAAACATGTTTGGTTTAATAAATTCTTTTTATTACTGTGAGTGGGTCTGAACAAAATCATGCAAGCAATGCACTCTCATTATATGTTTTCTAATGGCCCAAATACGTTTGATGGAAAAGACAATGATGACAGGTTAAAGCAAAGTTGTTTTGTCCTCGTATTCTCTTCCTCCTACATTCATGGTGATTGATGTCTTGAACTAATACTGTGGATAGTGGTACTTGCTGCTACATTTTTTTCTGCTGATATAATTTTGCAACACAAATATAAAAAAAGGAGTCAACTTTATATGCAGAATCATTATTATTATTTCTGCATATTTTTCATGAAATCTACTCCACACAAGGCCCTCAATATGAGAAAGGAAAGAAAATATCTAGAGCACTGTAGAAGAATAAAGTGTGCTCAATGTCCTAGCAGCTATCACCCGAAAGTGATGTTAAGAAATGTTTAATGACATACAATGTGTATCAAAATGAATTGTCTTTGAACTTTTTTCAGTGGCATAGTTGTTCAAAAAACAAGGAAAGAATATATGTTTAAGCTAACAATGTATCATTTTCATCATTATCATTGTCACTATAACACGTCTACACCTTCCTCAGAACCCTTGATCTCAGGATGAGGAGAAGAAGATGGAATGAATATTGCTAAAATGCTACCACAAGAATTCAAACCGTAACAATGTATCACTACCCCAAAATGATGCAATGCTGTCGGGTCATATGCCAGGAGACAGAGGCTATATCCTTGGTTGAGAACGATGCACCCTCATAATGTGTGAAGCTATGGATCAGAAGGGAAAAGATTGACAAGAAATCGATGAATCATCTCAAAGCTGGTGAAGGTGATAACAGCTGCAGGTGTGGTCCTGATAAGATTCGTTGCACACCCACGGTAGAATCCAGTAAGGCCTTCTTGCTGAAACACTTTTCTAATGCAATCAGCCACCCCAGAATAACGTTTCTCGGAGTGATGCCCCTGTTCCTGAAGCCTTGAACGTACCACCTACATCGAATAAGAATACATGACTAAACAGGAACTAATGATAAAAACATATCCAGGTGCAGCTCTCAAACATTGGTTTTGGTTTTGGGAAAAAAGAAAATATTGACAGATCTCCCATATTTTACATGATAAGTGAAATGCAGCCTTATTCAGAAGGAACGAGTTGTAAACAATTATCCATCATACCTCATGCGGATAAGTCAATGTTGATGCGAATATTTTGGAAACTGATGACGCAACAGCAACATCAGGTGCACTGAGTTTATCCACTGGAGTGTTATCTGCTAAGGCCCACCAAGTTAAAATATATTCAATGAGTAATAATAGTTAAAATATATAGGTTGTTAAAAATTTTAGATTATTAACCTTGATTAGCTAAATAGAATTTGATCTTCTCATATGTTGGAAACTGAATGGCAACATGACTAACGCCAGCTAATGCAGGGACAAGACCACTGTTCATCATGCAAAAATATGACAACCAGTTCCGGTAAAAGAAAACTTGGCTTGAAAAACAGAAGAACTTATCAATTTCTTATGAATGGTTCTACAATACCTGTATAGACCCCGAATACCCTCCTCATGAGCTATTCTCCTCAAAGCAGAAAGCGTACTCCTATAGGGAACCACTCCTGCTCTCATTCCTTGAGTCTATAAAAACAAAGTGACAGATATCAATGCATAACAACTCTAAATCTATTATCTTTAAGCAGCAGCATAATACAGTTAAAAATTAAAAAAACCTCAAAGCACGTACATGGTACAAATAGATTACAGATTCAAAATATATCACCACAAAACAATTTATCATCCATAAGAGCAAACCAAACAGCCTAAGTAACGGTAACTGGTGATCCACACACTTGATGCAGGTTGTTATTTGACTTATTTCTGCTCATTCTAAAAGGTTACTACTTGAGTAAGGTATAGGCTTCTCATTTCCTTTACATTTTTTAGGGTTGATGACCAGTGCAAACAAAAGTACTTGTCAGAAACAACAGAAGCAACAACAGATGAAATTTTCTAGATCCTGTAACAAACTATAGCCAGAACAAAAAAACAGGCAATATAACTTAGAAATTTAATATAAGCCACTATTGCAGCATAAAGCATGCCATGCCATCTATAATTTTAATATCTTTTATCATACGTCATTACATTGAAAAATATAAGTATAAACTTGAGAGACACACTTGAAGTCTTGTCTTCACAACCCAAAGAGGATTTGTACAACAAGTTGTTGCAGCTCCAGCACCAGATGCAGCTAGCATGTTAGCACCTACAGAGAGATGTTGTTTCTCATCTACACATGCACCCAAAAGGAGAAATATGTCAGAAGCTAAAAAGAATATTCAGGATGATAGTATATAAAACAAAATCTAAAAAGCAATAGAAGGGTCTAAATTAAGACTGAAATTGCAGATCCTGTGAACTTGAGACCAACCGTTTGAACAAAGGCTGTTTTTGAGCTGCTCATACATTGTAAAATAAACCTGCAACGTCAATTCAAGCAAGCACCGAAAGAGTGAATAAGAGAACATGAAAAAAAAATCCAATAATAAAGGCATGTGTTTCACACTTGCATCAAAAGGAATAATTTAATACATAACAACAAAAGCACCCATGGAGATCTAAACAGGTGGCTTGGCTTCCTGTTTGAATTACTTAAACCATAAAATCCTAAAATATTGAATCTGAACTTCTCCAGAACAGTGTTCTGCATAGTTGGGAACTTGGTATTGGAACAGCAATACTAACACATCTGCAATAATTATTGATTGCCCAGGCAATCAAAATTATGCATGGTGAAGGAATCATTGTTTTTACATTAGGAACTCAACCTTGTGAATTGTGATTGGATATCTAACTCTTCATTCGAACTAAAATTTTGCTTCTCCAGATTCAATTTAGAACAACTACTGAATCAGACAAAACAACTGCTATAATAACTGATGAGCAAACTTAGAAAGAAGATTGTTCTTTTTTATTAATTAGTTTACAGCCTTTATAAGAAGAACTAAGTACAAATAAGGAAACAATCCCTAAAACTCAGTAACTTCCTAAGAATTAGAGACTAAGATTAGATCCTACTATACAAGGTAACTCCTAGGACTAAGGCAAGTATTATGTCCTTAATCTTAGGGATTCTAACAACTGAGGCATGTGTTTCACACTTGCATTAAGGGGAATCCATTAACACAGAATAACAGAAGCAACCATGGAAATCTAAACACGTAGCTAGTCTCCCTTTTTGAATATAAAATCCTCAAAATCAAATCTATATTTCTCCGGAACAGTGTTATGCATAGTTGAGATTGGAATAGCAAGTATCAACATATCTGCAATAATTATCACATTGCCTGATGAATAATGCATGGAGAAAGAATCCATACTTTTAATTTTGTAAGTCAACCTTGTAATTGGTTACCCAACTCTTCAATTGCATAAAACTTTGCATCTCCAGATTCCATTTAACGCAATTACTAAATCAAACAAAACAACCGCTAAATACTGCATTTCCTCCCCAACTTAAAATATTCAAACAGGCAGCTTAAATTTCTGCTATTCGGAGTTACAAGGATAACAAAAGGCGTCGATGATATAAATGTGTTGAAGAGCACTTCCTCCCCAACTTAACATTCCCTCTATAAGGCTTTCTTCATGTATTTTGTGAAATTGTAATCAACAATTTAAACCCAGCACATATCCCAAATTAAAGAGAGGTGAAAAGAGAAGAAAACATGCGCAAAAACTATTAAAAATGTCCTTGGTTCTTATATTCTAACTCATCCTAGAGCATAACAGCATAAATGTACCCAAATTGTGGGAAAGGTTTATCTTGTTTCAGTGTACACATGCACTTTACCCAAGTTTTAAATGAGATTCAAAGGTTAGGACAGGATACAATACAGAAGCTTAGAAGCCTCTATCTTCAGATCAAGCTTGGGAGTAGGTGCAAAAAGGGAATCAGCACAAAGATATTTTCATTTTATAATAACTCAAATTTGCAGAAGGATGATTTCTTTGATTAAATAATAAGTCGATCATTCAACAAAGCTCCAAAATCCATATCTTTTAACGCACTCAAGGTGTAGTTACCAAGATATAAACATTGGCATCAATAAAAAGGCAAGTAATTAGAAACCATTGAGATAAAAAATGCTGGCCTTTGCGTTTCACGATAACATTCAAGAACTCTTTAAGACTTTATAAACAGGATTGGAACAGCCTAAAATAGAATCAGGGAATACACAACTTACAGCCCAATTAGGTAGTAAAGCGAGTACAGTAGGAGCAAGCCCACGGTACATGCCCCGCAAGCCTTCCTTCTGAAAGATTTGTTCCAAGCTACCAACTATAAGACTACCTGATCAAATAATTAAAGTAAAAAATATAAAGAAAAAACATTTTTTTTTCAATTCAAATGAAAGTAAATCAGTATTACATACGTCTACCGGTTGCGCCATCGAGCTTTGGCAGCCCATGAACTTGTAATCTTGTCTTTATAACATCTAAAGGACACACGAATGTTGCAGCAATAACACCTGCACGTGAACAAAAGAAGAAGAAAAAAGAGCATCAGAATTTAGCTGTCGAGATAAAAGGTTTAGGGGAAAAGGGAAGGGAATATTTGAGATACCGGCAGCGGCGCCAGCACCAGCATTGCAAAGGACACCCCTGGAATTAGGGGCATGGGAATCATTGGACATTTCTCGAACTTGTTAAATAAATCTGAAAACAGGAGAAGGTTATAGCCAAACAAAAGGAGTCCTCTCTCGAGAGGGATATGGCCGACAACCACGGTCGCATTGCCAGAGGATAAAGATAATTGGTGTGGAGCTGGAGAAGCGCCTGAGTTAGGGTTTCGACTTTAGTCGTTTTTTGGAATCAGGGAGATCGGGTCGAGAGGCTGGGCGTTGCCCTATGAGATCGAGAAATTGCCATGAGGTTTGGGAAGGAGAGAGAGAGTTGGCTTTTGTTTAGTTTATCATGAGCCTGTCAGTTCTCGGCCGAACGATTCGCCGAATATGAGGACCCAATTGAATGAAAAGAATCCCTCTCTGAGTCAAATGGTAATAAAATAAAAAGGCAACCTTTGCACTAAACCCCCTCCACCTCCGCAATTTTATAATTTGGCCCAACCCCTGGACCTATTGGCCTTTGGCCCGCACCTAAACAACTAACTTTGATTTATTTGTTTTCTTGTTGGTTTCGTTATTACTTTGACAATTTTCAATTTTTTATCTATGATTTCGAAGTTTTTTTTAATAATATAGAATGATTATAAATTTTATTTAAATTTTTTAATTTTTAATAATATATATATTTTGTAAATTTAATTGTTCCAGTTTAAAACCTTTAGATATAATAATTTTATTTTGAATTATTAAGGTAAATAAAATCTTTTTAAATCATTTATAATAAACACTCTATAAATATAATTATTTGAATTTAAAAATTTTAAAAAATAATTTTTTAGTTATTAAGATCATTTAATAAATTATAGGAGCCTTAAAGTTATCTTTGAATATGTAGGAGTGTCACCTATTTTTATCTATTATTCTTGGACTTGTGATTTGATTAAATAGCGGGTCAACGTCCATGAATTTGGGCTTGGCCCAACACCCCGAAAAACAATGTAAGACATGCTTGACCTTTCAATTCCACCGTTGTCCTCAAAATTTCGCCTATTAAAACCTCTAAAAACCAATAATCTTCTTGTTCACTTAATCCACCACAAACTGCAATACTCTTTTTTTTTTTGTTAAATAAAGTTTAACAGTAGAATTCCATACTCCGGCGATTTCGTGGTAACCCAAACTCATACGTGAGACCCATTCTACAACCCGCCGGCGGTGAGGCGACACTTGCAAATTGCAATACTCTCCGAGTCTGAGGTATACTATTAACGAAAGGATATTACTTTTTGCTTTATTTGTAACTAAATATAACTTCTGAGAATCATATTTGAGTGTTTTGGAGCAATATGAGATTTAAATTAGTTGAATTAAATATGTATAATGTTTGGCTTTTTACAAGTTCCATCCTGTAGAGGTGTGAGGTCTCACTAGGCTTGCATTCTTCTGGTCCTGAAGTGATTAAGAAGATTTAGATTTATATCATTTCAAAAAACATTGCTTAATCTTGTAAATGGAAATAAAGGAAGCATTAAAATTCAACTACTTATGCTTATGTGAATCATCTAAACTGGACTAGTGTAATTGAGGTTTCTTAAGCTTACTCCTCATTGTTAATATATAATTTCGAATTGCCTCCCAATGAGAAACGTTCTCTTTAAACAATTTGATTGTTTTGATCAATATTGAACTGCTTTCCTGCGTTACCAGAATCTATTTATTTTAAAGCCTATATCTATTAAAATATCCCCAACTTACAAATTTTTAATGTTGATTTTACAATAATTTCTCATGAGAAATAAGCAAAACACGTATTGTCAGAAATCTATACTGATAGTTTTCATGGCTAACCAGGTTTATTAGGCACCACTAGTAGCCCAGGGTGAAGCTGCACGACCAGTTGCTCCCGCAAGGCAAGATTGGACACCGACCATGCCACCTTCGGTCATACCCAATGAAGCTCTCAATCGAACGGCGTTACGTCACAAGCCCTGTTGTCAACGGCGTTACGTCACTTTGTGCTCAAACGAGCTCTTTACCCGGCTATGTGATTTGTACATCAGCCCATTTAAGACATTCTACTGGAGCTTCAAGAGAATCATCGAAGCCTTAGCTGTCCCAGTTGAAGCTCCTAAGGGAACCACTTAACTACAGTACGCTGTAGTCTGCTACATCTCCTCTTTCTTCTGGGATCTATACGTTTCAAACCGTGAATCTATTATCAAGCTCTCAAGACCTGCACAACTACAGCATTACAGCTTAGAGCAGTACTTCACTCAAGATTGTTATGATCCATTTCTGCACCATCTCCTATCTGTCATTAAACCAACACATCCCTTTGGAACCATTGAAGATGCTCTTTACATCCCCTTACTCAGCAACAACATCAATTTTGACAATAAGGCTAACCCATTTGGCATTAACAATTTCATGATGAATGAAGCTTTAGTTCGAGGTCTACTTAACTGCATGGACACCAGCAATTTGAGATGGTACACTGTCCCACTACCGAACGAGACATTAGGCCGTCCATTTTGGCTCCTAGATTGGAAACGAGACAAAGCTTACGCATGGTTTCCACAAGAAGGAAACTTCTCTAAAGAAGACCTCATTGCAGCCCAAATCCTTGGGATTCCCTGCACCCCAAGACTCGCCCCCGAGATGTAGATGACTGGCAATTCTTTGCTGGTAATGTCCTACCTGAAAACATTTTTGCGTCCAGCTATAACAGGGCCACTGCCCGCTACTTTTATGGAGCTGCTGAGTATCTTACGATATCCCACCGCCAATGGTTTCCCGAACAGGCAATCATTGATGGAGGTGCACCCGTTGGTTCGAAAAGGCATCAGCCGGACCCGGCAACAACAAGCTCAGGTGGACCTCGAAATATGGAACTCACTCCAGCCGTTGATTCACGCTCACAGTTAGGGATGGCAAAAAAACCCGAATCCGACGGGAAAACCGAAAACCGAATTAAACGGGTCGGGTTCGGGGATGATAAACGGGGACGGGGACGGGGAAAACCCGTTTATGTTAAACGGGGACGGATTTGGTAATCCCCGCCCCAATTACTCGACCCGATTACCCGGCCCGATACCCGACCCGATAAATATTAAAAATAATTAATTAATATATATATATATATATATATATAATATTAATAAATTTAATTTAAATTAAAAAAATATGGGACTGCTGTAGCAGTAGTGCAGGCAGGTCATGGGTGTTGCAGTTGGATCTGCGAACTAGCTCGGGAATATGGGAGTAAAATGTGGTTTTGCACGTTGATGTGCAGCAACAAAGTATAGAGAGAAATAAAATGTTTACTACAAAAGTGGTGAAATAATAAAAAACAAATTATGGTGCTTATTACAGATGGTGTTTTATTAATTTATGGTAACTTTTGGGACATTATATTAAACATATATATGCTTGTCGGACTGGGATGAATGCTTTCAAAGTAATGGTGGGCCCGCATGGTGGTCAAGGGAACATCACGGGATGGATAAGTTGTATAAAAATTATTTTATACAAACTATCTCAAGTTTTAAAACACAAAATATTATACTATAAATGCTAAAATCATGAGCCTATATCGTACATAAACTCTAAACCAATGTAATTAAAGTTTCAAAACACTGCGTTTATGCTAAACGGGGATACCCGTTTTCCCGCGGTTTTCTCTGATTACCCGATGGGGATCCTCGTTTAAATTCCCGCGGTTTTTTAAACAGAGACGGGTACCGATTTTTTAAACAGGGACAGGGTCGGGGGACCAATACCCGGCCCGAACCCGCCCCGTTGCCATCCCTATACAGCCACAACAACCACCAACCACGCCACCTAGGGCAGTATCCTTTTACCAGTATCAACTGATTGATTGGTGCTACCATGGAGTTATACTCAGGCACAACGTTCAGGCACAGAAGATGCTCTCTGCTCCTTTCTGTTTACTCATTAATATAACTAATTAAGCTGTAGAGCAATTTTATTTCGACAGGGTTGTAATGAACTTTAAGTAGTTATTTTGAACTTTGTTTTAGTGAATGAATGTTTTATGTGTAACATCCTAAGTAACAGTTAGTGACTAAATTGTAAAAATTCAGAATTTGGTGATTAAAGTAGAATAATTATATAGTTTAAAAATAATTGTTAGTAAATATGAAATGAATTTAAGGACAAAATGGTCATTTGCAAGGAAAAATAATAATTAAAAATTTTATGGGGTTATATTATAACCCACGTGGGGCTTGAGTAGGAAACAAAGGTTCCAGATTTCTCTCATCTCTTCTTCCTTCTTTCTTATCTTCTTCACTCTTCTCTTCTTCCAAACGTGAAGACCAAGTTCAAGGTAAGAATCTGAACCTTGGTAGTTTCTTTGATTTTTAGCTTGGAAATTGAAGCTTGGAGGTTATATAAGCTAAAGGAAAGCTTATATGACATTAAGACAACAAGATAAGTGTTTTAGAGATAGATTTGAAAAATGAGTTTTTAGATGAAATTTTGATATGGATGAGTTTTTGAAGTTTGAATAAGATTTTTGACTTGTCAATAAGTTAATTAAGAAGTATGAGGTGATAGAATTAAAATTAGAACAAGTTGGAATTTGAGTAAGA